CTTAAACACTCAGGAATAAAACTCTCACAAAGAGTAGATATGAGTGAACTAGTATACGCTCAAGAACACGACAATTTCTTCAAGAATTGGATCTCAAATAGCTAAGAAAAATAGGAATGATTATGCAATGAAAGAGTATTGAAATGTTGAAGAATTGTGTGTAAAATGAGAGGATTTGGGTGCCATTTTATAGCCCAAAATGGGATAAAACCGTTGCTAAATTTTCCAACAGGATGAAGACAAATTTTTCAGAGTTGCAGGGTGATAATCGATTGTCTAGACATGATAATCGATTATTAAAAGATTCCCTGTCCAAAAGTTTAAAAATCTATCCGTTGGAGGACAACGGTAACCCAGATAATCGATTGTCAACAAGTGATAATCGATTATTGGTCCTCTCAGAAGTTTCTGGGTTTTGGCTGCACAGGTTGATAATCGATTATTGCATAAGTGATAATCGATTATTGCGTGCTTCAGAACTTTGGAGTTCCAAAGCTGCAGGGGCTGATAGTCAATTTTCACTAAGGTGATAATCGATTATCACCCAGCTAAAGTCTAGCCAGCTGAAACCCGTTTTAAAAAACCGAGGTCCAAAAACGAAGTGTTCCCAAAAGTAAAAACCAAGTTTGAAAAATATTGTATATGGTATAAAATAGTGAAACCAAGACTTGTTTGGTAAAAATCAAGTCTCCAAGGTCGTAAATCACGTGTGTACGGTTTTGACCGTTTCTCACGTGTTAGACCGATTGACCAAGATACAAAAGTGGTTTTTATGAAATAATTATTTGGAAACCTTTTAAATATGCTCAGAGATAAAAACAAGGTTTAAAACATAGAAAACCACCGAGTTGGTTCGGGCGCCAAAAAACCGAACGCCGAACACCGTACGCCGACTTAGGTGATTTTGGTTCTGAGCAAGGACCAGAGATTTTAACAATAAAAAAATTTATCAAAAATGTTTATTTTGATGCACAAAAATATTTTATGATTTCGTAAAATTATTTTGACTCTTTGAGAACCGAGACTTGAATTGATTGTCGGTTTTGATCACAAAAGACCGACTCGACTAAGTCTTCAGTTCTTGATCTTGTCCTTGAGTCTTTTAGGTCTTGTTCCATGCCATTCTTCACGCCTTGAGTTATTCAACGAAACTCTTCATATCCACGGCGGTTTGGCAATTATCAAAACCTGTCAGAAATGAACACAACTTTAGTTAAACGTGCAAAATGTGTTCCAACAACATTCCTGTCTCTCTCTCTTTATATATAATCCTTTGCCTTAATAATCCTTTGCCTTCCTGCCCTAGGCCTTTCAGGTTCCTAGATGTTTGGACTTCTGATGATTTAGTTTTTCGGTAAGTCAACCTTCCCAATGAAGGGTTAGTTTTCTCCGAGTGTCGTGTCTCTCGAGGAGTGGACGAAGGGAATTTGCTAATTTTTCTAACTAGACGAAGGTTAGGACGGGTCTGAAACTCTTCTCGATTTGATTTGAAAGTAAACTAAAGTACTAGGTTCTTTTTGAGAAAAAGAAAATAAATAGTACGGGTATAGGACTAGACTTCGGGCCAAGGCATCATCTGAGTTAACTACTGTTGTCACATATTTAATCAATAATTGGAATAATAATATTTCTGTCACAAATATTTCATTAACTTATCCTCTCTCAAGGCAACATTAATGTGTTCTAAAAAGTTTGGCTTAATTAATTTTATATCCTCATAGACAAGGCAAAAACTAANAGTTTTTCGGTAAGTCAACCTTCCCAATGAAGGGTTAGTTTTCTCCGAGTGTCGTGTCTCTCGAGGAGTGGACGAAGGGAATTAGCTATTTTTTCTAACTAGACGAAGGTTAGGACGGGTCTGAAAGTCTTCTCGATTTGATTTGAAAGTAAACTAAAGTACTAGGTTCTTTTTGAGAAAAAGAAAATAAATAGTACGGGTATAGGACTAGACTTCGGGCCAAGGCATCATCTGAGTTAACTACTGTTGTCACATATTTAATCAATAATTGGAATAATAATATTTCTGTCACAAATATTTCATTAACTTATCCTCTCTCAAGGCAACATTAATGTGTTCTAAAAAGTTTGGCTTAATTAATTTTATATCCTCATAGACAAGGCAAAAACTAAATTCCAATAATTAATTAATTTTTCTCTCGACATAATTAATTAATTTAACAATAAAAGTAATTCTAGAACAATTATTCCAATTATTAACTAAACATACAGAGTATATGCCCAAATTTAGCCAGGACTCTAATCTGGGCCCTAACCCATACTAGATATTAACAGTGCATAAAACAAAAGAACATTTTATTAAAATTGCAAGTATTAAAACTTACAACAGAGAGAAGAGTCGGAGCCACTTTGGGACAACCGGAACAAAAGTAAACTAAAATATTAAAATATAACTGAGAAAAGAGCAGAGAATGGAGTTCCGGGCTTTAAAGACCCGGAAGAAGGCTTGATGAGAATGAAGGGGCGAAGCCCTCCTTTTATAGGAGAAATTTTCGGTCCAGGCCTCTGACAGGCGTGGGCCTGAGTTGCAGGCGCGCGCCTGGAGTAGTAGTGCGTATGGCTGCGCAGGTTTAGGAGATCGGAGTAATATTTTTTTTGTTTCTTCATGCGTCACTCCACACCTCCTCTTGTGTATCTTTCTTTCTTTTTTTTTCTTTTAACTTCTTTTAACATACGATGATGATGGAGATGCCGGCCAGCCACTTGCTTTCTTCTCTTTTGCTGCTGTAATTGGCCGGCCAGCCAGGTCGCGCCACGTGGCAGCACCTGGTTGGTCGGATTTTGACCCAGTCCGAAAATATTTTCTAAAAATACAGTCTTGCTCAAAATTTTATTTTGAACAACTTTTCCTTCTGCGCTGACTTCAAATTCCAAACCAATTTGGGTCAAACGAATTAATTTTGAACCAATTCAATCTTTTTCTTTCCAAACAATTTCTTTTTGGAACTTTTTCAATCCGTTTGACCTCAAATCTTTTGACGGGGTGCACTCCCACATTTGAATGCACATTTTTCACTTCAAGGATTTTCACCATCTTTTGTCTCCTTGCTTCGTTGTATTCCATTTGTATAATCTTTTACACTTTTTGTATCACTTTTGACTCAATTTTTACTCTATTTAAAACTAGACATAACTTTTGTGCACTTTTTCAATTATAAATAAAAACTTATAAAAACCATTGAGAAATTGATTTGTTTAATCCAAAATTAAACCATAACACATTAAATATAGAGAAGATAAGTGCGTACAAAATGGACTTATCAAATTCCCCACACTTAAGCGTTGCTTGCCCTCAAGCAACAAAGTACAACAACAAATGAAACTTTGGATCAAACACTTATATACAAAAATATTTTGGAAAAACTATTGATCACATTTTTAAACAATTTATTGCACAAAACTCTTTTACACTATTTATTCTTTACAAAAATAGAATTACTAGAACTAGCATCCTTTTTACAAAAAAAATTAGCAAAATATTTTTAATTATTTTTCTAAAAGATGCACATAAATTAATTTTATTGGCTAAATGTAAACGTTGTCCATTTACAAACTTGGATACTAAAGTCTAAAACAAAAGAATTGTAAGTGTTTTATAATAACTGCAAAATAATTTAAGGTCAAAAAGATGTACATTGAAAAAAAACAAAATAAAAAACACTTTTCTGAAATTATCATTTATTCCTATGCAAAGAGTAAGTTTGAATTTTTTTGTAGAACATCACTTTGTCATGTTGACACAAGCAAAAATTTTGATCCTCATCCCATGACATAGAACCACGAGCTTTTTGGATTTTTATTCACTCAAAAGCCTCATCACAAGACATAGAACCGCATGCTTTTTGGCACTCACTTCAATATAAGTCTCATCATTTGACATAGAACCAAATGCTTTTTGACTTTTTAATTCACTCAAGAACTTGGTCTCACCAAAGTGTGTTCTTTGAATTTTTTTTTTTGATTTTTTTTGAACTTACAATGCAATCATTGAAATATCAAATTTTCAAAAAAATATACTGCTTATACTCAAATTGAAGTATTGAAACAGCATCATTTTAAATGACAAGTTACAAATGTTTGACCTTAACGTATTTTACAAGTTAATATTTATTCACTAAATCAATGATTTATTTTCAACACATTAGTATCCAAATTTATTTATTTACAAAACTTATTAAAGTTAGCCAATAAAAAGACTGTATGTGCAATTTAAAGAAAAATATTTTAAAATTTTGGCTAATTTTTGCATAAGGGGGCTCTTAAAAAGAATTCTACCTATGAAAAGAGTAAAAAGTGTAAAACAATTTTAAAAGTATCAATAGTAATAACTAGACCGATTCAGAGTATTCGAGATCGGGCAGAATGCTGCCAATTAGGTGCTCTTAGGCTCACCCGAATAAATTTTTCCACAGAATAACCCAGTAGGAATGGTGGGACAAGTTCGGCTCCCGAAGGCGTCACCCTTTGCGTCCACTTAAGTACCATTCCAGCTTAGACAGTCATTCCGTACACAGTGTAGAGATCACTATCAATATGTAAAATGCAACAAAGTGTATGAAAATATTTTCAAAAAGTTTTCCTACAAAAATAAAAATATTCTGTACCAAACTCCAATCTCCCCACACTTAGGGTTGACCTCGCCATCGAGGTCATTAAGCGATAAAAACAAGAGTTTGGGACAGAGACAATTCTCAATTTTTCTTTGGAAAATGTTTTTACAAAAATATTGTGCACAAAAGTTAGTCAATTTTTTTTTTTTTTTGAGTCAAAATGGTTCACCGGCACTCCTAATTCCAAGCTTCACCTGCACACACAAACACACAAAAACGCATAAAAAGGAAAAAGAAAAAATAAAATTTATTTACTTGGGTTGCTGATAAGTCCATTTCGTTCTTATCATTTACATCATATTCTAAACGTTATTGCACGTAAATAGTATTTAATCATCTTATAAAATGTGATTTCAATGAATAAAACTCTCATTTTCGTTCTAAGAGTCATAAAATGGGATTCCACATGAAATTATCATAAATCATCCATTTTATGTTCAAATACTTGAGAAAAAGGGAATCAATCATCAAAGGATCAAGATTTGGGCTTGAACGAGCTTCCGGGAGATCAAAAATAGTGTTCGGGGCCAAAACGGAGAGAAAACTAACCCTTTGTTGGGAAGGTTTACTTGAGTTTCTTTGTTGTTCTTGAGTTTCTACTTGCCGCACCAGTTTTGGGGGCAAGATTTTATGTGTTTGTTTATGTGTATGCAGATGCCTCATCGTCCTTCTTACCCTACTGTGGACCGTAATGAGGTCCAACTGATTGATGCTGCTTCTAGGACGAGGTTCGATGAGTGGGGACACTCACGGGTGTTACACGAGTCGGTGTGTCTGGCTCAGGATACACTGACGGACTATGGCTATGCAGAGGAGATGGAGGAGCTGCTTGAGGGGACCAGATGGCAGCGCCTTCTTAGGATGAGGGCAGAGTCTAGCCTACCACTGAACATCGAGTTCTTATGCTCGATATCTGCTGTCCCGGAGAGTGAGTCACGACAGATGACTCATAGTTTGATCACTGGTGATACCATGTTTGCCTTCACTCTTGCGGGCCAGTCGTTTCAATTGACAGTGAGAGAGATGGCTATTCGTCTCGGGATCTACACCCAGGAGGAGACCGAGCAGCCTGAGTTCTACGACGATCCCTTTTGTCTTCCCGCAGATTTTGATGCTATAGCTTTCTGGAGGGAGCACTCATCTGACGACAAGGAGTTCGTGAACAAGAAGAGTAAGGCACGCTACTGGATTCGGCCCAGCTGGAGGATCCTATCTTTTGTTCTTTCGACATCCTTCTTTGGGAGGTTGTCGAACACTGATAGGGTCTATGAGGAAGATATGTTTGTCTTCTGGAGCTTGCACGACCGCCAGCCGGTGAACGTGGCTGTGTACCTGGCTAGATTCTTATACTCCCAGTCCTACGGGTGTAGAACGCACTTGGTTTTTGGGTTTGTGATTACTTTGCTCTTTCGCTCCCTCGTGGGGGACGCACCCATCCCACGGCCTGTGCAGTTGATGAGGGATTTAGATGCCGGCATGCTCCGGAATGCTCACATCCACCGGAGACTCTTTCCTAGCTCTTCCGAGAGCACTACGGCCTCTACTGGCCCACTTCACATGAGATTGGAGAGTCATCCGGTCAGTCAGAGAGATCGTCTCAGCGCCTTCCTCGTCGACGACCTACTAGAGCACAGTTGGCTCGCGCTCAGACGGAGGTAGCACCGGCATGGGCCCAGCAGCTCTTACAGAACCAGAACACACTTATGCAGTCCGTTGCGGCACTCCAGCAGCAGGTGCATGGTTTAGACAGGATACGTGAAGCATTGGGTTTCGAAAACCCGACAAACCTCCCTCCGCGTCAGCAGCAGCCCAGAGATGACGATCCCTCCACCTCTCGGCCTCCGCAGTGATCTCCTACTTTCTTCAGAACTTTTTTATCTTATTTGAGCTGGAATTGATGACTTGACTGGTTTATTTGGATTCCTGTTTGACTTCTCCTGGTAAACTTTTATGGTTATGCTTATTTACTATTTCAATCATCATTTTGAATATGTTACATATGCAACCATCTTAGTCATCATATCCTTGGTATTTCAACCAAAAATTCTACTCTGAAACACTTTTTTT